TGGAGTTTCCTCAGAAAAGAGGGGAAAAAAAAAAGGAATAGAACTACCATATGATCTAGCTATCCCACTTCTGGGTATTTATCGAAAGAATACAAAAACACTCGTCTGAAGAGATACCTGCACCTCAATGTTCATAGTAGCATTATTTACAATAGCTAAGATACGGAAGCAACCGAAGTTCCCATTAAAAGATGCATGGATAAAGAAGATGTAAAGTATATACATAATATGAAATACTACTCAGCCATAAAAAAAGAATAAAAATTCTCCATTTGCAACAACATAGATGGACCTGGAGGGTATTATACTTAGTGAAGTAAGTCAGAGAAAGGCAAAATTCGTATGTTTTCACTTACATGTAGAATCTAGAAAATAAAACAAATGAATATAACAGAACAGAAACAGACTCACAAATATAGAGAACAAACTAGTGGTTACCAGTGGGGAGAGGGGATGGGGGAGGAGCAAAGTAGGGGGAGGAGATTAAGAGGTACAAACTACTAGATATAGAGTAAGTAAGATACAAGGTTTTAATGTACAGCACAGGGAACATAATCAATATTTTATAATTACTTTAAATGGAGTATAAACTACAAAAATATTGAATCATTATGTTGTATACCTGAAACTAATATAATTTTACAAAGCAACTATATCTCAAAAAGTCGTGGTGCATGTGCACACACACGCACACGTGCGCGCACACACACACAGAGGAATATTACCGAGCTGTAAAAAAGGTGAAATCTTGCCATTTGCAACAACATGGGTGGACGTTAGGGTATTATGCTAAGTGAAATAAGTCAAATGGGGAAAGACAAATACGGTATGATTTCACTCATAAGTGAAATATAAAACTAAGAAACAAATAAACAAAACCAAATCAATCGAAAACAAGCACATAGATGCAAAGTACAGGATGCTGGAATGGAAGTGGGGGTGGGGGAAGGGTGAAATCAGTAAAGGGCATCAAGTGTGTGGTGACAGATGGAAAATAAATGTTTAGTGATGAGCATGGTGTTGGGTATACAGAAGCAGAAATATACTTCTGTACTCATGAAGCTTATATAATGTTATTATAATGTTATAAATCAATGTTACCACAATTAAAATTAAGTTAATTCAAAAAAACACAAAAAGAACACTGAGGCCCACAGAAGAGAAGTGACGTGTCCGAGTCTTGCGGTTTCGTTCAGAATCCAGATTCCCCAACTACAATCTGTGTTTTCTGGTCCAAATCAGATTACTTGAGTTCCAGGGGTCACACAGACCATGGCCAACTCCTCAGATCACCTTCCAGCAAGACTTTTTTCACTGGATGGTTTCCAGGTGGAAACTATCTTGGGAGCAAGGCCAGAAGAACAGGAAGTTGGAGACTAGAGAAGGAGGTGAGAGGAGGGCCGTCCACTAGTCTCTCAAGCCTTTATTGAACATCTCTGCTGTGCCAGACCCCATCAGGGAAGCAGAGCCGAGCAGCCCACCGCCCCCCTTCTCAGGCAAGGACAGGCAGCCACCTGCTAAGGGCTCTGCTGGTGTGGAAGTGCTGGGCCAGCAGTTTGAGCAAAGTTCTGTGGGAGCACAGAGGAGGGAGCTGTTCATCCTGCGGGGCGGGGCAGGGGAAGCTGCGTCGAGGAGACGACGTTCAACCATTTTGGAAGGAGAAGTACAAGTTTGCCAGGTGGAGATGGGGAAGGGGGCTTTCTGGGCAGAAGTACAGTTGGAGCCAAGGTCAAGGGGAACGAAAACCTTGGCACATCCTGGGCAAGGCGCGCAATCCCACGTGGCCAGTAGCTCACTGGATGAGAGAGGGAGGTGGTCAGAGGAGGGTTTAGAAAGGTCTGCTGGGCCTACTTCTTAATGTTTTATCTTGAAAGTGACGGGGAGCCAACATTTTTAAAGATGAAAATGAAGGGTTAGATTGTACTTGGAAACATGCATTCTGACAGCCACATGGAGGAAGGAATTGAGTTGAGGGGAGGCTGGAGGTCCATTTGGAGAGTCTTGGGAGAGTCTGGGAATTATGCTGGTGAGAAAGGCTCAGGGCCTGAGCTACATCCCTGCCGCACAGCTGGGGAGGAGGCGCCCAGTGATGGGCCCATTTCACAGAC